ACTTTCCATCCTGAACGAAAACAGCTGGTTTCAAGGATGAGGTTAAAAATAAATTGCAGGGGGTCAGCCAGAACACCAAGGCAATCTTTAACTATAAAACTTGGTATAGAGTCCGCTCCCGCAGTTAACTTGTTATTGAGCCTTTTACCCGCTCTGATTATATCATTTAATTCAATAAATGGTAAGTCAATGTTACTATTACATAATGGAATTGACTCACCGTAGCTTGGAACGGACTCAGTGTAGACGCTGTGAAAAAATGTGCCAGAAGCATTAACTATGTCCTGCGCATTTGAGTGTTGTGCATTTTCAAAATGCATCTCGCCTGGAATTGTGGTCTGGTTTTTTTTACTCCGGATAAACGGCCAAAAGGTTTTGGGATCATTTTTGATAGACAGCTCAACACCTTCAATGTACCCAATATAAGCTTTTTTAATTTGAGACTTCACTAGTTTACGAAGTGTGTTAAACTGTTCAGAGCAAAGTTGAGTTCGGAATTTAAGGTACCTTTTACGTGCAACTTCCTTTTTGCGGATGTTATTAATAATCTCCCGCGTGTAATATGAGGGATATCTCCGACTCCGTTTTATTTTCAGGGGAACACAACATTCAAAAATGTGGTTAAGAACACTATACAGGGCCGAGCATGCATCATCCACACCAGTCGCGGCATACACAGCAGACCAATCAGCATTAAGGACAGATTCGTACAATAAAGGGAAATAAGCCTTTCGAAAATTAAACTCTTTTGGTGGATATTTGTTTAGCGCAAAGTTGTTAACATGTGTAAATGAAGCATCAAAATCAAAACAGAGAGACGGATGGTATGCATCTTCATTTACAAGAGTCATTCCTTACAACATTACAGGGAACATTAGACAAGACAAGATCCAGCATTCGGTTGTGGCTATTTAGAATGCCATTATATTGGGAGAGGTTAGATATGGCCATGAAATTCTTCACAATTCTACTCTTTTGATCTACTGATTCGTCGTTAACGAAAAGGGGTGCGTTAAAGTCGCCTACGATAAGGATTTTTTTATTTTGGAGAAGGTTTTGTAAAACCAATGTGTCGAAAAAAAGTTCCACATCATCATTGGGTACTGACGGCGGTATATATAAAACAAATATGAAAATAATGAAGGATTCGATAACCGTTCTACAGCAGACAAAGTCTATAAGTGGTACACTTGCCTCCAGACCAGGCGTGATTTGAAGCAAGTGGAGATGCCAAGAAGCACTCCTCCTCCCGTAGTGGAGTCCACACGGGAACTTGCGGTCACTGCGATATACATCATAAAATTCTGGGAAAATTTCGGAATTTCCAATGTCGGGCATTAACCATGTCTCCGCAACAGCGATAATGTCCATTCCAGACGCCGCCACAGTTGTTTGGAAGTCCAGGATTTTTGTGTTTAAGCCGCGAACGTTTTGATAGCAGCAGTGTATAGTTGAAGAAATGGGATTACCCCTGTTGGATGCATTTAGTTTTCCGATATTGCGTTGTTAATTTTCACTATCGTGGGAATGCCCCTGATATGCTTAATTCTTAAGTCTACCTTTTGCTCTGCATCAACTGTTCCTTAACACTCTTGTAAAACTGCATCTGTTTCGGGGTTTTGTCTGAGGCAACTGTAAGATGCTTAAGCCGTGGGTTATTCCTAATTTTGTAGCACTGCTTCAACACACCGACGACAGTGCCACTATTTTTGCAGCATATTTTCAAAGGACGTGGACGGCTGGCAGAGTTTTGAGCACGGCCAAGACGCGATACGTTCAAAATATTTAATAAATAATTCATATTTAATTCCATATCTTTGCACTTATTAGGTAAAAATTTGTTGTGTTCTCCTTATATTAGAAGAATAGTATATTATGCAATGATCATGTAATGATAGCCATTAATACACGAGCATGTTGTAGGATACGAAACGAGCCGCAGGCGAGTTTCGTATATAACATGCCAGTGTATTAATGGCCATTACATGAGAGTTGCATACACTATTTTTTCTACTGCCATTGATAAAACTTATGATATTTAGATATATCAACATTATGCTTAACTTTGAATAGAGATTTTATAATCGATAATCCATACAGTTGAAAGCTTCATTTTTTGTTGTAATTCTTCAAAATATATATTCGCCAAATTACCATGGAAAATCTATAAACAGAGTGCTGCCAACATTCAAAAAAAAAAAAACAATTTTTTTTAACTGGTGGCGCCATCTATTGACAATGTATAATAATGAGAAAAGTTAAAATTCTTCCTTATCATTCATGATTTCCATAACAATTATTCTTTGTCCCAAACTTTAGGTAACTTTTAAACAATTCGGAGTCTTTTTTATAGTTATCAAAATAATTGTTTTACGCAAAACTACCGTTTAAAATGTTTAATATTTTAACTAGTGCTGCCATCTATCAACATTGTATAATATTAAAAATGAGTATTATAATGAAAATCTGTATCGTAATGAAGTTCATTATGCTACAGATTTTAATCGTTTAATAGCGTATTATGAAATGTCAGTAGAAAAATTTTTTTTTAGAACTTTTCAATCATCCCTCCTATAGGTACTATAGGAGGGATGATTGAAAAGTTATATTATTTATTATTATAATAACATATAATAATTTATAGAAATAAATTTAGTCTCAAAAATTCGCTGTGTTTTTTAACTATTAGATAATGATATTGTGTATAAATACCTATTTACTATAATGGGTTATTTTTGAAAAATATAATAGTGACATAGGGGGCCTCAAAAAAAAGTTCGCGGGGGGGCCCCCAAAAAATTTGACACGCTACTGTTTGCAATACCCAACTTCCTGGGAAATCCATTAGGATATTCCTAGAATATACCTATGAGATTCTCAGTACATCCTGAAAAGAATATTCCTGTTTGATTCTAAAAATATGCTCGAAATGTATATTCTCACATTCAAAGAATATTTCTATGACATTATAGTTATGTTCTCAAAAGAATATTATACCAATATGCTTGAAATATTCTTAGAATATATCTACATATATCATTCTCAATATGCATCCTAGACATAACATTCTTGTTTGATTCTAGGAATATACTTGGAATGTTAATTTTCGCTTCCACATATTGCTCCTTTCAGCCCCTTTTATATTAAAGACAGTGAAAGAGTTATTGGAAAACTTCCCTGGAAAACACAAGTGTTTAACCAAAGCTCCAGTTTCGAGCTTGTTTTGAGTTTGTTTTTGAGTGGGTACTTTAGATATAATTAGGTGAAGAATATGAAAATATTCTTATCATGGTTACCTACCTACATAAACTTCTCAGCACAACTTGGTAGGTATATTTTTAATACTTGATAGAGATATTAGTCGAAAGAACATTTTTTAGGGTTCTTATGACAATATTCAAATAATGTTATATAAAGTAGGTTCTTAGTACAATCTTTCAGGTAGGTGCATAGAAGCAACATTCCTAGTAACTAAATAGAACGTTCCAAAATGAATATTTCAATCGAAACAATCTTAGAATATTCATTGAACATTCCTAAAAGAACATTCCAAAAAGCACTTTGAGGGAATATTCTGAGAATATGAATGTTCTTTCAGTGTTATGTGGGTGAATGCTATTAAAATCTCTCAAATCACGCATCGCATTATGAATCCCAATAATCGCATGGCTTTATTGGATATTCTTTCAATATTTTCAATAGTAATATAACTAGTGCAATGGAAATTATTGATAATTTTTGGGAAATTTGCCCGAATGCATTTTTAGTTGAAAAAGAGCACGAGTGCACGTAGTGCACGAGTGCCAGTTAAAAACGCATGAGTGCAAATTTGTCGAAAATTATAAATATATTTCCATTGCACGAGTTGTATTTAATGAGAGAATTTCATAAATCAAAAATTTAAATTTTTTGTCAAAAAATGTCAAAACACCAGTTTTCGCACCAGTTAGTATGCAATTATCTGATAATTTGCACTAGTGTAAATATCACGTAATTACAATCTGATTGGTTCAAATCAACAATCAAAACATGTCAATTTCTTGTTGGAATACCAGTTTTGACAGATGTATGAAATTCTCAGAAAAATTCAATTTGACATCTATAAATACGCCAAGATCTCTAATAACATAAACCCTATCAAGCTCGGTTCCATTTATCGAGTAGTTGAAAATAATAGGACTTTTAGATATGTGGAAAGTCATCACTTTGCACTCATCAACGTTTAGTGTCAAATGATCGTATTCACACACAGCTGACGAAATTGTTGAGTTCCCCTTGCAATATTTTGCAGTCGTGGATATTTTTTATGGTGACAAACTTTCATGTCATCAGCAAAATTGAGAAATTTGTGCTTAAAAATATTCTCAACGTCATTTAAGAAAAGAGTGAAAAGGAGAGGGGACAGATGCCCACCCTGCAAAACACCAGAAGTGATGTTAATTTTTGATGAGACCGAGTTTTCTATCTTCATCCTCTGTTTTCTTTCCGAAAGATGGTCAATCTTCCACCTCAAAAATATATGATCCATGAAACTCCATACTTTCCAGCTTTTTTTCCAAAATTTCATGGTCGACCGTGTCAAACGCCTTGGAGAAGTCGGTATAAGAATATCACGTCCACCTGATACTCCTCTCCTCCAATGGCTCCAATGCATCAAACAGAGCTTGCTCAAACTCCAACAAGTTGGTGACTGGGGATTTGCCTTTCATGACTCCATGTTGTTCTTTGTTCTGGTATAATTATATTCTTGGATAGAGATGTTAATTTATCTCTATATGATTTGATCTTACAATATATCATTCAGACTTTTGTTTTTTTCGTATTTATACTTGTAGGTATCAAAGCTTGTACCTATTTATCAATTTATTATTACTTGTAATTGTATGTTCTGATTTCAATTCCGTTGCTATTTCCATATCTTTTCTCATGCACTTTACCTGAGTATCATAATCCATAAGTTTCTCGACGTCCTGTCGTCGCTGGATAAGCATCGCGACGCTCCACACGTGGGGCGCAAGGCGGTCCCCGTAAGGCACCGCCGCGTGGGCAGGACCGTGCCCGCCCAACCTGAGGGCTCCGCTAAACGGAGGGCCCGCCAGTCTCGTTCGGACCGCGACGCAGTCTACTTTTGTGCGTCGGTTTCAATTCAAAGGCGACGCGGTGCGTTTATCGGTTCAGAGTGAATTCAAATTTAAAAGTGAACGAGTTCAGAGTTTCTGAGCAGTGTGGTTGGGTGCTTCGAAGCAAAATGAGACGCCACAACGTGGGGGTCACTGCCTTGGCCGCCACTATTGTGTGGATGACGATGTGGCAAATTACTGTAGCTGATTGGTGGTAAGTTGTTGAACAACAAAAAATAGAAACATTGCGATGCTAGTTTGATTTTGTGGAAGCGGATAATTCAAAAAGACAATCAATGCAAATCATTCAAACTGATTGATCAATTACCGTCTAAAAGCTCCTCATCAACAGATAAAATGCAGAATGTTCAAAAAAAATTCGAAAACTGACACTAAGGTTCATTGGAGTTTCGATCAGAGCTGGAGCAAAGTTTGCTGAAGCTACTGGAGATGACCATCATTTAAATATAGTTCAATAATTAATTGAAGTCTATGGTTTACCTGTTCCAAAATATAAACAAAATGTCTTCGAAAACTGTAAAAAATTATAATAGTGGAAGTGGAGATTACATTAGCGAGAGATTTCTCGAAAACTCCGATAATTCAAATATATGCCATGTTTTGTTTAATTTTCAAATCCAAGAAGGCAAAAACTTGTAATTGTTGCTTTAGGAAATGTAAACAACCGTACTTTTAATAAACCTTATCGTTTATTTACAAACTCAAATGAGCGTAAAGTTTTAAAATGTGCATCAGTTAGGTATTGTGACTTTTTTAATGGTCCCTCAGAGCTCAACTTACTTATATTTAAATCTATCATTCAATCCTGCTTCCAGTTTGTTCCTGCCATTGTGTTTTTCTCTGAATTTTTCTTTCTAAGGTATTTCATTTTTCTTTTTTGTAGCTTCTGCATGTTTCCGTTTTTTCTCAAATTTAAGCATAGTTAAGCTAAGTAAGTAGGAATGCATAACTTTCTATTTGTTCTATTGCTGGTGCGTCCTCTATCTGCACAAACTACAATTAGTTCTTATGTTTTTCTTTATCGTTATTATATACCTACCCTTAGGTACATACAGAGTGTCACGCCATTTTCTTTGAATTTGCTATGCATTCTAGAATTTATTTGTGTCTTTGAAAAATCTTTTGCTTAAACTTCTTGCAATACGATTTGTCAAGTTTTTCATTGTTACCTTGCTAATTTTTTTTCTATCTAACAGGCGCATCACTTCTAATCTGTTCCCGGTTCCTTAAATATTTCTATATTTTTCTATTATTTAGGTCCGGTTTAATCATCTCCCAGATAAACTTGCTAGTAACTATCCGAAAGATAAATTTATCGATCTATATAATATAATCCCGACTATAACTGGTTGACCAATGGAATTGCAGACTGCGATTTTTTCCGTCAGATTGTATTACCTGACAGTTTATACCAAGGTGAATAAACCGGCCCTTAGTCGGAAGATTTCTGAATCAGCTTTGTGCTTTACTTATGTATTTATTTCTATAGTAAGTCCAATTATTGTTAGTTTTCCCGTTTTTGCTGCAACGTCTTTGGTTGCATCGCTTAAGTAATCGTAAATTTCTATATAGTTACTTATCTATTGTGTTCTATTCTAATTCTCTTTCTTGATTTATATTACTTTCTTCAAAATTTTGACTTTTTCTTATTTAATCAAACTGCCATAAAAATAACAAAAAAAAAAAGATGATACCTAAATCATTAATTGTTAGATACGGTCCTGGATATGTTATACCAATTTTACCAAGCATCCAACTTCCAAGTATATATTGGTTAATTAAAGAAGCAGAATATTTCAGTCAACATTTGAAATTTCCTCCATTTACGTCAAAAGCCTTCACCATCAATCCATCAAAAAATAAATCAGATTCAACGCGTTCAAATCCCCAAGTCAATGTAAGTTTAAGTAATATACCAAATCTAGTTTGACATCACAGATTTGATAGTAATTTAAAATAGGATTTTGATTACCAATATTTAGTGGTAGCTAATTACCTTCACAGAAAGTTAGGATTTTATCTACATCCCATCCCGCTTTAGAAGTATTGTATCATTTTCGTTTTCAATAATTTTGAATATCTTTAGATCATCTGCAAATAGTAAGAACTCTGAACTACCCACATAATAAGATATGTCATTAACAAACAAAACAAAGAACAAAGGTCCACAAATTTCTGAGGTAGGTACTCTAGACATGGCCATAGTTCTGAGAGTTAGCTTCATCAAATTTGACAGTTTGAGGCCTATATCGCCAATGTAAGAGACCAAATAACAAATCCAGATTATCACTAATTGTTTCAGTTTCCTTATAGGGAAATCACGACATACCTACCTTGTCAAATGCCTTTGCTATGTATGTGCACACAACCTCAATATCAATGTTTAGCCAAAAACTCCGTGAACACACGATTGTTTGTCGTTGATTAAAAATTTGTTTGTATAGTATTTTTTCAAATATTTTTGAAAGTGCTGGGGAAATGGTGAAACGGCAACTGTGTAATCATTTATCAGACTTGTATCTTCTGATTTATAAATAGGAGTAACTCTACCATTCTTCTTGGGTTCTTTTGGTATTGATTGTTCATAAAGTATTTTCTTTTCAACAACATTTATCTACATAATCTTACCTATACATTAGTCTACCTGTTTCGTAAATTCGTAATTCCATTCCTTATTTCTCCTGATATTTTTGTTTTAGAAGAGAAAATATATAGCACATAACAGCAATGATTTCTTTCAAAAATTGTCCCAAATTACAGGATTCCATGTAGGTACTTTACCGTAATATTTAGCTAGGTACCATAACTTCCAACATTTTACCTTCCAAAATTCAGTTTTGCTGGTAAAGGTCAGACAGCTGATTTTTAATGTGATACATGTCAGTCGTTGTTGCTATTGAACTTGTTAATTTGCGAATTTGATTGTTTGTTCAATTATTTGAATCATTAATAATTCATAGAGCTCTACGCTTACTAACAATAGTTTTACCTATAAAAGTATACGAAATAACATTTTCAAAGTATTCATTATTGTAACATTCACCCTTTTGCTCAGTAATAACCATTCATGTGACAGATTTTTCAGATTCACCTATTAAGATTGTTGAAGTTTAGTTATGATAATAGCTACAAAGTTTAGTTGTTTCAAGTATTCATAAAACGTAGTCCACTCTCTCCAGGAATTTTGTTAGGTAATCTTATAATCCGATTCTTATGCATCAAATTCCTTACCAGTAAAATTTCTACACATATTTGCTCTATTTTTCATCTGGACGCCACTGTCACTGGCTTCTGTTGCATATTCTCCATCTGTATCTGTTTGCTTCCCATTTCCTTCCTCCTTACCACCATTTGTAGGTATATATTTGTATGTTGATCTGTTCAAATTTAGCTCGTTCCAAAATGCTATCCATTTCCAATAATTTTAAATCATTTTCAACTTATTCTTATTTAAGTTATTTCAATTTCAGTTTTCAGGATTCACCGATTTCTGCGACAATAACTTTGTTTCTTATGGCTTCTTCGGCTTGAAAATTTTCCTTGTTTGTAGGTTTTTTGTTTAAATTTTGTTCAATAATTTGATTCGGGCCGAGAATTTTTACAAATGGTAACTGAAGATCTTCAATTTCTCTCTTTTCCTAGCTTCAACATTCTTTAGACAGACTTAATTTTTACATAATACTACGTCCAGTCCAGCCGTGTTTCTTCTAGGCCACTAGTCGAAGGTATACTGAGTACCTATACGATATAACAAGATTTTTTGGTTGAAATATTTAGGGCCGATACTTTTGCTCTCGATTAATGAATTTGATACATCGTCAAAGTTTTGCATGGGCCTATAGACTATAAGATAGACTTTACAAGTGTTATGCTAATAATTAAACCAACAAGAATTAGGTAAGTTATACCATAAATATAATAATACAATAATAATATTCCGAGATTTATTTATTTATTTATTTACGTATAAAAAAATACGTATATTTTAAATGAAGTGCTATAAAGTTTAAATCTAAAATAATCTGAAAATCTAACCTAAAACAATGCTCCTGACCCGCGTCTTGAATTTATCCTGAGATAAACTAAAAAAGTCAAGACTCTCATAGAACTTATTTACATTAGCAGATATTCTATTGACAGGACTGAATAGTAAGTACGAAGTACGACAGTAAGAAATGTGCAGGTAAGATTTATTTCGTGTCCGATAACTTTGAGTGTGTATAGATAAAAGCATCCAAGACATTAGGGATATTAAAAGCAAAACAGACATCAAAGTATTCCCTTCTGCGAACAAGAGTATTTAAGTCTGAGTGAGTCATAGTCTGGTCAACGCTGAAAATCACACCACTCAGAGACAGTTTTTACCTAGAAAACTTGATAAATTTGTGTTGAACACTCTCAAGCCTATTGATGTGGATCTGATAGTAAGGTGACCAAACTATGCAAGAAAATTTAAGAATGGATCTGACTAGTGATGTGTAAAGAATTTTGATGGGGCGTATACTCGTAAAGTCCCTAGTAGGTAAGGTACCTCTCTTAATAAAACCCAACATTCTATTAGCCCTGCCAACTGCCACTTCAAAATGCTTGGTGAACATTAGCCTAGTATCTAGATAGACACCAAGATCTTTGATGACAGAAACTTCTTCAGACAAGCGAACATCACCTAAGCAATACTGAAAAGGAACCTTACAGTTGAGTTTACTGAATCTCATACAACAACACTTATAAATGTTGAGGAACATGTCATTAAGCTAACACCAATCATTGTTAAGATCGTTTTGCAGAATAAGTTGTTGTTAATCAAGCCCCAAATTGTAGGTAACACCAATAAAATATCTAGAAGAGTACGGACGAATTCTATTGAACAGAATAATTACAAATTACAATAATGACATATATCTTTCCAAGTCAAGTAACTAAAAACCGGTAACGGCGGTACCTATATCACAACAAATAGAGGTATTATAAAATAATTCCAACATCCTCCCCATTTTATAATAAGTCCTTGATTTGTAATGTACTTCGAAAACTTTGCTTTATTCAAGGGTTTGGTGAAAGAATCAGCAATCATTAAATTTGTCGGAACATAATTCAGGCACAACTTCCCCTCCTCAATCTTCTCCTTCAGAAAGTGATGTCGTACATCAATATGCTTTGTACGAGCCTGGTATGCTCCGTTTAATGCCAACT